AAATACAAGCAAAGCGTTAAATACAAAACATCTATGAATGCTTCTGCATTATCTTTTGATGTCGAAGTTCAGCCTAAAATCAAGTTATCACTGACATCTTGTTATAGGTCTCAGCTACCCATATCAAAAGCCAAATATGATGATTTGCTCAAACTTTGCACTGACAAAGTCATTCCTAATTGTCTTAAACAAAAGTTTCTGAGCATTCCACGTGCACGACATTGTACGATTGTGATTGATTAACAAAAAATAACAAGATCTCATGTCGCATATCTATCGTATGCCTTTGGAGACTGATTATATTAGGTACAATAGTGTTGTTAAGTTTGGTTATGTTCAATAGCAGAATACAATTTATTATTGTTTTTGATTTACTCTGAAAACTAGAGCTTTTATGAGTTTTAATAATTCTCTATTGTTTTTAAGACTGATGAGGCAATAACTAGATTTTGGTATTATATTGGAATACACTACAATGTGTTATGGTTTATTTATTTAATATTGGCAAAATATTGTATAAAATATAATAGCAATAGCGTGATTTTGTTGCAAAAAAATATATCCCTATTGTTTTTTACATTAAATGCTTATTCATAAACGTCTCGCTCTTTTGGTTTCGCTCTTTTGCATGATTTACTATAGTAATTTATTACATTTTAGTTCAATTCTTTACACTTTCTACATGCATAAAAAATGGAATAGTATTTAGATACATTTACTCGATTTGTTTTGAACTATGGGATCACTTTAGTCCAATATACCCAAAACGAAACTGTAAGCTGTGCGAATTTGTCTAACTTTACATGTTACTGAAAATCTTTCAACGATAGCTCATATTGTTTTACATGTTACTCCAAATCTTTCAATGCTGGCTTAGATAATTTTACTTGTGACGAGAAACCTTTTATATAAAATTCAGATAATTTTACCTGTTTATCAAATTATGGACAATATATATAAGCGACAATAACTGCTATATACACAAATGATAGGCAATAGCCTTTAAGTATATTCGATGGGCAAAAAAAAACTATATCTAGGTCTATTAAAATAATTTCAATCCTACAGTTAGATTCGTCAAAATAATTTTTTTTTCAGATATTTCAACTTTAAATTGCTCTACTGTAAAGTTCACGCATTGTCGCTTAGTCATGTTTGCCTTTCAAGCGTCGATATCTATGCAGATTTTAATTTCGGTGTTCGTTGACTAGTTACGTTTATAGTTAATTCATATATTTATAGTTTTTGTGAGACAAAACTTTTTTGAATATACAGTAAATTTTAAATCGTATAAATTAGTAGCTTAAAATAAAGTTTGTCAAAATTAACGATCGATTTGCGTTCGATGATCTATGTTTGAAAACTTAATTACCTGCTAAGTTATTTATATAGTTGGTTAAGTAATACGGAGCTTTTCAAAAGATGGCTACAATGAGTTTTTATGTTCGATATTTTATCAGGACAATGGCTGTTTATTTTCATCGACTGCCGTTCGCTTTCGTCGGTAACAAAAGGCGGATTTAAATTACAATACGAAACTTTCTTTCGAGATAAAATCGCGGTAATAGAAAATTATTTTCTTTTCTGTCACAAGACCTAATCTCCTGACTATCTAGAAGAGTCTGATCGCTGATCAAATCAGTGAATGACATAAAATAATATTGCTTGTAAAAATGTAACAAAGACGTTTCCCGGAAACCTGTTACCATCAAAAATTATTTATAAGATATGTTATTTTTCTTACGGTCGTTTAGTGAGCGATCCTACGGATCCTGTAGACATGTTTAGACACCACAGCGCTAATGCAACAACCGATCGTGCGACCTGAGAGTGAAGACTCAATCTATATTCTATACTAATATTATAAAGCTGAAGAGTTTGTTTGTTTGAACGCGCTAATCTCAGGAACTACTGGTCCGATGTGAAAAGTTATTTCAGTGTCAGATAGTTCATTTATTGAGGAAAGCTATAGCTTATATAACCTCACGCTAATACCAATACACGCGGAGCACCAATAAATAATATTTCAAAATCGTTTTTTTTTTCCCTTTTGAGAGCTTCCGCTAATCGGTTACGCGAACGTTTTTTATGCTAACCTAATTTGTTCTAAAATAAAGCATTAATTGTGATCTATTCCATGCGGATGAAGTCGCGGGCAAAAGCTAGTCGGTTTATACAACAGCTGACCCGCTCTTCAAACGTGAACGCACGACTGCTTCACGTCAAGCATGGACACGACGGTTGTGGCTTCCCGAGCGGGCCTATACACACACACCATTTCACCAGTGATTTCAATTGAATTTCCCTTGTCCCAGTATACGAAGAAGAAACCGGAGACTATTAAAAACGCAATTATCCAGCTGCCGAACAAAACGTTTCGACTCGTTTTTTCAATTGGCGGATCATTGAAAAAGAAAATTATATACAGGGTGTAATTTAAAAAAAAAAAAAAGCGTTCCGTTTATGAAAATTCCTCATTTTAATGTTGTATGCTGCTAAAAACACGATACAATGTATTTTCGCGTTCAATATTTTTAGCAGGACAATAGCTGTTTATTTTCGTTTATTGTCCTTCGCTAAGGCACAGTCTTCGTTCGCACCAGACGACAGATTTAAATTACATTAAGACTCCTCGTTTCGAGATGATTTTTTTTTTTTTTTTTTATTGCTTAGATGGGTGGACGAGCTCACAGCCCACCTGGTGTTAAGTGGTTACTGGAGCCCATAGACATCTACAACGTAAATGCGCCACCCACCTTGAGATATAAGTTCTAAGGGTCTCAGTATAGTTACAATGGCTGCCCCACCCTTCAAACCGAAATGCATTACTGCTTCACGGCAGAAATAGGCAGGGCGGTGGAACCTACCCGTGCGGACTCACAAGAGGTCCTACCGCCCGTGAATGATAAAATGAATAAAGAATTTTTAAAATGTCACACGGATGCGCAAACATTTCTGTACATTAAACTAACTAAAACGCTCTGTGCTAAGAGCAAATTAAATAAATCATTTTAAATTATTATTAAAGGTCATCTACCTAGCTACGACTGGTTTCCGTGAATGAAGACGCGATTAAATAATAAAAAATCTAGTATAAATAATTATTCTGATGACAATTATATTAACTAGAGGTCCCGCAGTAGTCGAAATTCGACTATAGTTACTTGGAACTGTAAGTTTGTACACTATTACGATTGTATTTTCAACGCCAAGACTACATTATAGAAAAATATTAATAAAGACAAACAATATTTAATCTATTCTCAATTTGACCACAGACGTCAAGAACAAAAGTTTGACAATAAATAAATAGTATGCATGCGTGTGTGCGTCAAATACATGGTATGTAGTGTGTGTAATGTTTTCTTTATTGATTTAATGTATCTTTTATGCATTATTTTTAAAAAATATTAGCATTGTGCACTTCTTCTCTATATTCTCTATAAGGTATACAAAGTTTTTCCTTCACGTATTTATATATAGATAAAAAGCAGGTCCGTTCTTCGAAGAAAAAAAAAGTGTACTTGACAAATATTAAGAAATACGCTTTTGTGTACGAAGTGGCTCCTTACAAGAAGTAGGTCGTACGTCATTTTAATCTTAGTCTCCGAAATTAAGGCGCCGCGGATTACAATGAAGGTAAGGCAGCTTAATGAGTTCCACCGTTCCCGAAATGTAGAGATTTCTCACAGAAGACTGCTCCTCCATTGTGCAACAGCAAAAGTAATTTGCACGAGAAGGTAAATATACACAGGGTAGATTTTCTTTTAAAATTTTTTCGACTTACGCAAATTACGCGGCTGTTGTCGTAAGTATTTTATGCGTATGTGTGTATGTTATTTTGAATGTACAATTTTAATTTTAAATACAGCAAATGTCTTAGTATTTACTTAGTATAGTACAATGGACTCATTACGCATTCCAATTCAAGATTGAGGAATTCAATTCTAAAAGAAAACACTATTTAAACACTAACTTTAGTTTGAGAAGCATTTGTGTTGGTTTTATTTTTTTTAAATTTGTTTTGTGGCTATGGACAATGCGTCGTAATAAAACTAAGTTTAAGATTCATGTATTTAACAAATCTAATCCTAAGAAGAAATGGATATGTTGTGTGAAAGACGATATGGGTAAGAGGGGAGTGAGCGAAGAAATGGTATATGATAGAGGAGTATGGAAGGAGAAAACATGTTGAGCCGACCCAAGGTGATTGGGAGAAGGGCAGGATAATGATGATGATGATGTATTATTAGTAAACTACTGACCCGCCCTCGCTTCGTTTCGGAAACTGTAATTTATTATTGATTTCTCCACTATTTAATGAATGTTATTATATATGTAAATCTTCCTCTTCAATCACTCTATCTATTAAAGAAAACCGCATCAAAATCCGTTGCGTAGTTTTAAAGATTTAGGCATACATAGAGACAGATATAGGGACAGAGAAAGCGACTTAGTTTTATACTATGTAGTGAAATAACATTTGTTCTCCCGCTATGAATGCAATGTTGCAAGCAATAAAACATAAATTATCTCATCCTTTTAGCCTTTTACATCAACCAAATGCTATACGACGACCAGTTGTCTCTCTGTGCAGCCTACCGAAGTCTTCGGACTCCTTACGTTTTATCACTCTCTTTTCTCTCTTATCATGTCTATCCATCAACATAGTATAAAACTATCTTAAATTTACTTCGCGAGGCTTAAGGATGAGAGTTGGACCATAAAAATGAACATTTTGGAAAGGCCCACTAGGTAAAAGGAACAGAGGTAGACCATTGACTCGTTGGGAAGATGAGGTTATAAGGATAACCGGTCCAAACTGGAAAAAACATCCCACAGGACAGAGACAATTGGGCATCTTTGGAAGATGCCTTTATCCAATACGGGGTTTTTACATAAAACTACCAAAGTGTTTTAAATTAGTTAAGTAATCATACTTGTTAATAACTGTATTTAGTAGGAAATAAAAGGCTTATTATTATTTTAAATTTACTTACTATATTCGTTTTCAAATAATCCATCCATTACCTGTAAATAAAAATAACCATTAACAAAACAATTAGGTATTGGTTGACTTTATTTATTATGAATGTTAGTATTAATAAAAAATCTTCTTGTGATCACGAGTGCGAACTTAAAGAAATCTTATGTAGTAACCAAATTATTTTTAACGATATGTGAAGCAGCACTTCAAGACCAGCGCGTAATGAACTCCAAAGTATTTTCTTTGAAGAATTCGCTGATTTCTCAGTCGACGTGAATGACCGCTTCATCGAGAAAGGTCAAACCTGAGTGTCAAGTTCTTATCCTCATTCTGCACAATCGTCTTTCAGGCAGGTACGTAACGAAGGTGTTCGTAATATAATTATTTTTCTAGCGGTGCTGAAAATAAAATGTCTTTTGTGTCTTTATCGGGTACTTTAACGGGTCACTACACAAGGGGGTCCTGGGTTCGAATCCCGCCAAGGGAAGATATTTGTATGATAAATATAAAAAAAAAAATGTTTTTTCCAGAGTTATGGATGTATGTTAAATATAATATGTATGTGTATAATAAAAATCTTACATTGATTTTCGTTATCTGGTACCTATAACAGAAGTTCTTTACAAACTTATCACGGGATCAGTTAAGGAAAAAAAAAAATATATTTTTGGATCGTATAGTGTAGTAAGTAGTATTTAGCGCATTTTCTGCGTTGGTGACGATTTTGAGATATGAAAGGGAAAGCAATAAATAAGAATAGTGATTTTGTTATACTCGTAGATTATACTCATAACATACAGAATCTGCGTCGGAAAACCGAAAAAGATTCAACGTACACAATACGTACAGAAAATCATTTTTAATTTGATAATCAAAGCTAAAATATTGGTAAGTTGGTTAAGGGCAAGTAGTGAGTAAGTTAGGCGTTCCTAATATCCTCTTAATATCCCTAAGAATATGCTTTCTCCTGTGCAGTGGGCATCGAAAACACTTTATGTTATGCTTCCTGTACAAGTCATATGACGCGCGCTACTCTTACCATATATAGATAAATCATTATTCTGTTCGTACAAGCTAAGTCCGTCCCCGGAATAAACTGTAATCGAGCTTACTGACCATTATCTTCCCGGATCATTAGGTACACTCGATTGAGACGACGGGTAGAAACTTTCCAATTTCAATGTTCAAGGAAAAGTTGGAGGCATGATAGAGTCAAAGATTTCCACAGAACAAACATTTATCCGTATTATCTTAGATTTAGCTCATTGTGATTTATTTTTATTTTTATTTAGTTAAATGTAAAATAATTTCTAAGGAATTATATAAAAATTTAAGCATTAAACGCTTTAATCGTGCCCTATATAATTCGGGTAAAATCTAAAGTAAGGTGCTATTTTCTCCTATATTTTTCGATCGATTTTATTTTTCTGTCATTTAGTAGCTAGCCATTGACGAGATTTGTCCTGAAAAATAAATTTTGGAATTAGACTCAGTCAGGAATCAGAACTCAGGAATCAGACTCAGATTCATCATCAGTGGGCGAACTCTAGTACATAAACTATATTGTTACTAATATTAATAAATATCAAATAACAAACCATTAAAAATGCGAAATTTAAAATTAATTTGTTTTATTTTCGAATTCCCACAATTCAGAAGAGGTCGTTACCCAACTAACCCAACCAAATAATCTTCGAATAAATGAAACTCCCGTATGTACTATCGGTTTTGCTAATTTATTCTAGTTAGTAATATAACGGGTGGTTATTTTTGAAAATGCACCAACATTCACTGTTTTCTATGCCTGAAGGCGATTAATCTTTTGGCAGCACTTCTCATGTCTTCGTGCTGCTAAATCCGTCGCGTACAGTACTGTCGACTGACAAGGTGACACACTCGACGAGCACACGCTTTTTGTAATGTAATGCAGGAAGCTTGTTTTTTCAATATTCATGTTGCCGGGGAGAGTCAGATTTATTTCTGTTAGAATTTGCGATGTTTTCTAATAACATATCAGTAAAGGTAATAAATACATTAATAATTAATCATCCCTTGCAGCACCTTATTCTTGATCTCTCAATAGGGTTATTAGTGGTAGAGTGTGATATGATATCACATGGGTTTCTACCATTATCCTGCCTGTTCTTTCGGGAAGTAATCTTGCGTCAACGTTTGAAGAATCCGATTTGGCATTTATTTAAATAAAAAGTTTTCGTTTTGACCTATTTAAAATACTTTAATAGTATACATACGTTTTGCCCTATCTGCATTTGACAATTTCCGGATTTTTTCACTTTAAGGATAGTTCTCACTTTAAGGATGTCTCTAGACGAAGGAAGTTCCCATTGTAGCGGCTATTGGCTAGTACTTTAAGGCTTAATACGAATAAAATAAGACATTTCTGATGTGGACATTTAACGTATTGCTGGCTATAACAAATTGTGCTGGCTATAACAAATTTATCACTGGTGGTGGGGCCTCTTGTGAGTCCGCACGGGTAGGTACCACCACCCTGCCTATTTCTGCCGTGAAGCAGTAATGCGTTTCGGTTTGAAGGGTGGGGCAGCCGTTGTAACTATACTAAGACCTTATATCTCAAGGTGGGTGGCGCATTTGCGTTGTAAATGTCTATGGCCTCCAGTAAGCACTTAACACCTGGTAGGCTGTAAGATCGTCCGCTCATGTAAGCAATAAAAAAAAATTAAAAAAAACATTTATGAAACTGCACCCCTGAGAATTGCTAATACCCATTTTCTCTATAACTTCCTAGATTTGAATGAAATACCCGTTTAGTGAGCTATCTCACGAATCATTTATTATAGGCTTATTATTTATTCGTAAATTATTGGCATAATTTTTTCGTTATTTGCGGCTCTTCTTATTACTTTTCAAAATAAATTCTTATTTTCCGTATCATTGAAGTAATATAATGAATAGTACTAATGCTATTAGCAATAACAGTAGATCAGCAACAGTTCCGAACTTTATGAGATCCATACTAAATGTAAATGGTACTATATTATTTTATGGATGTAATTTAAAACACATTTGCTTGATATTGGTATCCGTCGGGATTCTATTACAGAACGGTGAATTTAAAGAATTCCAATAATATTATTCGGGGTGAGTCCTAATATTAGAATAGGGGATTTTCAATATTAAAAGGTTTAGTTTTATTTTATGCTAGTCCAAGTGATTAGTGATTTAATTTTGAAAACCACATGTCACTTATTAAAATAATTTCTTTTTACTATATTTGGTTGATATCGAAGGTGCTGTTGTGATCGTACTGACGTTGATTTTTTAGCGATCATATTAGACTTTTCATCATACTCCTTCAATTTTGTACCCTGGCCTGGACTTTCAGCTGTAGTAGCTAATATTATGGTTTTTTTTCCCGTTTCCAATTAGCACGACACTATACTTTTTCATTCGTATTATTACGACAAACTCATAAAACTATATTAGCTGTATGGGAACAAACAGGGCATCGAATGTAATATATGTCTTATTTATAAGTGATGTAACATTATTGCGGTACGGATACTGGTATGTAAGTTTAATCGTATATAGGTTTTTAAAAACGTATGCATTTCTTTTTTATATCTATAATATATATATACTAGCTATATACTAGCTGACCCGGCAGACTTCGTAGTGCCTCAATCGACAAATAAAAGACCTAACCTTTTTTATAAAATAAACTTAAAACAAACAAAAAGAATCCGTCCGACGGGGGACACATCAAAGGAAAAACAAATTTATTTATTTATTTAATTCCGAGCATTTTCATATTTATCTACCTTTTAAACCTTTTCTGGACTTCCACAAATAATTCAAGACCAAAATTTGCCAAATCGGTTCAGCCGCTCTCGAGTTTTAGCGAGACTAACGAACAGCAATTCATTTTTATATATATATAGATAAGCTCATTCAAAGAGCAAACAGTTCTTGTGTCATCAATATTAAGTGGAGCTAAGTTTTCGGCAATGAAATTCACAGACGAAGCAAAACATCCGAGAGGCTAACCGCAATAAGGGCAAATGAACCGAAAATCGGATCCCGAACATTGTCGCTAATAGAAAGGGTTTCGTTGCTATGCGGTTTCGTTTTGTTAAGTGAGTCGTCTATTATCAAAGGTGGCAATCTGTGCATTTGGACAAAAAAATGTTATTGATATGTCAATACAGATTGATTTGAATATAATCGTCTCCTTCAAAGAATACGGTTCAAAACCTGCATTAAATAAAGGTTAATACTTAACCTGTTATTTATCTAAGATGTCGTTCAGAAGAGTTTTGTGACTGCCAATGGAATACAAAGTCAATAATTCGTTTTTCTGATTTACCAATAATTGTCCAAAAGTCACATTGCCGGCTTTGATAATAGTCGACTCAAGTGTAGTGATTATTTTAGATCGATCTTACGTTTCTTTATGGACTAGTGGTCGCCCGATAGTTGAAATTCGACCATAACTAATTGAAATTATAGGTTTGTACACTATTAAGGTTCATACTTCTATAATCACAGATTTCGCTAACACTTCACTTTAGACTTAGAAATATTAATAAAGACCAAATAATATTTTAATCTATTCTCAATTTTACCACCGACTTTATGCAATAAGAAAAGTTTGACAGTAAACAATAAATAGTAGGCATGCGTGTGAGTGTGTGTCAAATACATAGTAGTGTGTGTAATGTTTTCTTTATTGATTTAATGTATCTTTTATGCATTATTTAAAAAAAATATTAGCATTGTGCACTTCTTTTCTATATTCTCTATAAGTGTGGGAAATTTCATATTCCTCCGTCCGCGCAATTTTCGTAAAAAGGGATACAAAGTTTTTGCTTCACGTATTAATATATAGATAAACATAAATTTAAACGCAATAGATAATGATAAGATTAACTGATATTATGAAAGAATTACAGACCCTAGTGACAAAAGTGGTATTTCTAATATTGCTTAAGAGTGATTCTGAGCTATAAGATTTGGAGTAGAAGTGTTGATGGCATTGAGTAACATCCATTTTATCCTTCAA